TTAATATCTATATCATGCTAAGAGTATATATATATACAACTATATATATTATATGTAAATATATTGTATACACTTATAAGTTATAACATGAGACTACATTATATATATTTATATTCTTATATCTTAGTATCTATATCATGCTAAGAGTATATATATACAGCTATATATATATATTATATACATATATTATATGTAAATATATTGTATACACTTATAAGTTATAACATGAGAGAGAGAGAGAGAGAATCACATAAATATATATTACTTATTTATAAATACGTATTATATAGTTATGTATGTATTTGTTACATACTTACATTATGCTTATTTAAGCACAATTATAAAGTTTACTTATATGATATACTTTTATATATATTAGATGTAAGTAATGCTTATTTAAGCACAATTATAAAGTTTACTTATATGATATACTTTTATATATATTAGATGTAATATACTTATATATAATTATACTTATGCACTTATATATACTTATATAACTGTAATTCTATAATATACACATATAAGTATACTTATAACTAGATTATATATATTTATATTGTTATATTCTTAGCATCTAATACCCTTGCTAAGAGGAGTCGTGGCGCTCTTCTCTCTCTCTCTGCTCTCTCTCTCTCTCTCTCTCTCTCCTCTCTCTGCTCTATAAATATATTATTATAAATATATATTATATTATATAGTATATATAGTATATATATAAGTATTTATTATCATGCCTAAAAGCACAATTAGTAAATGCTTTGAACTTATATGATATATACTTTATCATTATTAATGTAATATACTTTATATTTATATTATACTTATGACTTATATATATTATATAACTGTAATTCTATAATATAACATAAAGTATACTGTACAAAACTACGATTATATATTATTTATATTTCTCTATTATACTTTGCGAATCAATATACCCGCTAAGAATTGAGAGGTTCCGTGCCTCTCCTCTCTCTTCTCTCTCTCGTCCTATACTATATATATTATACATATATATATATATATATATTATGAATTGGTATATCATGCTAAGAGTATATATCATATACATCGTAGTATATATATATTAGTATACATATATTATATGTAAATATATTGTATACACTTATAAGTTATAACATGCAGAGAGGAGAGAGAGAGAATCACATAAATATATATTACTTATCTTAAATACTTTATATATTATGTATGTATTGTACATTACTTTACATTATGCTTTATTTAAGCACAATTATTAATTTACTTATATGATAAACTTTGTATATATATTAGATGTAAATACTGATATTATAATTATACATATGCACTGCTAGTATATATCTATTTATATTTCTTGATAACGTATAATTCTATATATAGCACATATAAGTTTACTACAACTACATAATATATATTTATATTGTTATATCTTAGCATCTATACCCTGCCTAGGAGGGAGCTTCTTGCTGCCTCTCTCTCCTCTCTCTCTGCTACTCTCTACCTCTCCTCATAGTATATATATATATATATAATATATATATAAATAGTATCTTTACTATAATTACAGTATATAGATGTACTTAATTGATAATATATAATATGAAGTTAATAAACTGAGAGATGTGAGAGTAATCAATAAAATATATATTATTATATAATAGTTCTTAGTACTACATTATGTTTATTTAAATACAGTTATTATAGTACTTTGTAATATATATAGATGTAGTATACTTCATATATAAGTATAATTATGCCACTTATATAACCTGTAATTCTGATAATGATACGCATATATGTATACTGTACAACTACTATTTATATATTAGTATTCTCTTATCTTAGTTATCTATTATCATACTAGAGTATCTATATATAATATATATAGTTGAAAGAGAGAGAAGAGGAGAAAAATGGCGTATCCTTATGTACTAAGTACAAAAAATTTGCCTGTATTGAGGTTGACTCTATATCCCCTCCACTCATTCATAATGATTGCAATCATCGCCCAGTACTCCTCAACCTCCAATGTGAGGTGCTCCACTCTATTTGCAATAGCGCCGTAAGGGATCTGCCTACCTCGACTATAAGCCACAAATATTTCGACTATGGCTACTAAGCACACATTTTTCTTCGATATATATTATATATATATATATAGTGTCATAGCTATAGTATATGTAAATAGTTATATATATATATATATATAATAATTATATATATATATATTATATATAGTATAATAGTATATATACTATATATATATATATATACTATATATATAGTATATATATATATAGCATATATATTATATATAACATATATATATATATATATATATGATATAGTAACATATATATATATATATATATATACATACTATATATAGTATATAAATACATATATAATATAAATATATATATGTGTGTGTGTGTTGCTGTGTGTGTGTGGGCGTATATACTTAGGTCGGGTCCATCGGCCCGTGCACTACCAGGTCCGGCAATATTTTTCCGGTCGGGTCGGGCCGTGCCGATGCCGGTGCGGATCTTGCCGATCGCATGGCGCGCTCCTACCCGGCCGCCGTCTGCAGCCACGTGCCGAGCCGCCGGGCTCCCAAATGGACACCCCTAATGATAATAGGTTAGGGAAAAGGAGGGATAAGATAAAGAGTTGATGATGAAGTGTGGATAGGAAAATGAAGTTTTTAAAGAGTCAACTTCACATAAATCCCCTACATTTAGGTGTAGATTTAATAATTTTGAGAGATCAGAAGGGATAAGAGAAGTTTTGTTTAGCAAACACTAATATCTCTTCGTTGCAAAATTAGCTACTGATTAAAATTTAGGTATTGTTACACATTTGACTCATTTAAAATGCATTAATATTGAGTTGTCTATTTAAAATGTCATATTGATAAAGGGAATTAAAATGCTAATCTGGTAATTTAGCTAGAGTAAAAATATCAGTTAGAGAGAAATTAGTCTATCATATCATCCAAACTTCCATTAGGTCACACAATTCTCATAAGTTGTTTCAAACTAATTTCTTTAATTGTCAATTATACTATGGATTAGAGATACTAATTTCAAAATAGGTTAAGAACTAGAGGACTTGATAGCAATTTCAATGCTTTGAAGGACTAATTTTAAAAATCTTTAGATTTGAGGAATCTAAGAGCAATTTTCATGATTTGAGGAACTACTTTCAAAATATGGAAGATTTAAGGGACTAATATCAAAAACCGTAAATCAATTTTAGCCTTAAGAATATCATCCTTTAATTGCAAATAAATACCCTATAGTTTCACCTAGAACAAATTTTCGAATTAAACTCATTCCGAATTTTTTTAAAAAAATAGACCCTATCCCCCTTTTTTTACAAGAATTGACCCACTTTAGGGCCACGTCAGCATCGTGGCCCCAAAGCGGGCCGATTTTTTTTAATTGTGTTACTAAATAGTCGGGGTTGCCAACCCCGACCGCTGTATAATCGACGTTGCTAAATAGTCGGGGTTGGCAACCCCGACTGATTTAGCACGCTTTCTAATTCCCGACCAATTCGAAAGCCTTTTTCTGATATAAGACACATGTATGAGACCTAATTACGAATAGCTGGTAGCCCACTGCAGACAAAAACTTAGTTAAGGAAAAGGACGTTAAAATATCTAGCCCTCCAGCTTTTTCGTTCTCAATTGTTTAAGGTAAGTAGGACAGAAAGTACCTTTGTCATACCTGCATATCTTTTATTTGTAGAGAAAAAAATTTAGAAAAAAATCTTTCGAATTGGTCGGGGTTCCCAACCCCGACCGATTAGACAATGTGCTAAATTAGTCGGGGTTGGCAACCCCGACTAATTTAGCATGTATATTAGTCAGGGCGTGCTAAATAGTCGGGGTTGGTGACCCCGACTATTTAGTAACGTGATTAAAAAAATCGGCCCGCTTTGGAGCCACGATGCTGACGTGGCTCCAAAGTGGGTCGATTCTTTTAAAAAAAAGGTGATAGTTTAATTCGAAATATCCTCAGTCATACAAACGTGAGAGTTTTCCTCACATGACACTTAACATGTTAATTTTGAAATATTTGAACTCTTATTATGTGTTAAATTTACTTGTCAGACCTATCAAAACCCTACTTTAGAAAAAAAAATAGATTAAATTTACCACCAGAAAAGGGGAGAAAAAGAAGAAGATGATGTGTTGGAGTCGTCAGGAGCGCTCTTGTAAGAGAGATGTTTTCAACAGAATTTAGATAGAACGCACCAAATTATTTTATGATAGCACGGAGAGTTTGCCATTATTATCTTGACATCTGCATGGGAAGTAGTTATCCATCCGTTCATTTCGGTTTGACCATCAACATTTGTCAACTTCTCCCTTCTACGATGTTGTTTGGTTCGGTGGATGAGCGCTGGAATCCCATTTATAAAAAATCAAACTTCTAGAAGTAAAATCGTGCTTTCTTGTTTGACGGGTTTCCTACAAAGCACTTTGACTCAAAGTTTAGATAAAACTTATTTTCTAACGAAGTTGTAGGAAATGGGTTGAAAGCCCATGTTTGGATTTCTTTTCTTAGAAATTTGACTTAATCCAAAGCGGCACGGAAATTACCTCCTCAGTATTTATCTATTCCTCTATAATATAATAATGAAAGAATCCAAGATTCACAATTCATACTACAGTAAATACCATAATAAATTATCACTGTAGCTCAAACGGAATATTGTTGAACTTTAAAAACTGTAGCACTCACGAAAAAATGTATTTAAATACAGAATTACTGTAACGAAAATAAAAAAATGAAGACCATGCTTTGCACGGATGCACACTAGTAGGGGGGAAAGGCATATTTGATCTTCTGTAGAAAAATCATACATATACCTCCATAGGATTTATTTTCTCCTAGTCCTCCCCAGCATATGAGGAAGGCTTCCAATTGGTGCTTTTAGAAGCAAAAGAAGACAAGCATACACAGTACCCCAACAACTACAAGATATTCAGAGGCACATCCACGCTTAAAACAGGCGTATGGATGCATTATGATTTATGATTCCAAACAGTACATTATGCAGTATCCTAAAACTCCCACCAGCAAAACTTACACCATATACACACACACACAAAGCCATAATTGATAAGAGCATTTTATAGTTTACATCAGACGCAATTCAGTCTTTGAGCAACAAAGCCTTGACGAAAACATATGTAGCATAAAGCTTTTAACTCTCATATGAAATAGTCCATTTGTGTCAGCCTTTCCATGTATCTTTCAGCCTCCTAATTTCCTTAAGGGCTTCAATGGGAGAGCGACAACCAACTTTAGCCTGCAACATGAAGTGTGTCAATGTACACACTTTCCATACTGAAGTTAAGAGAATATAACATGCACCCTAAGTAGAAGACTATTATACACTTGTTATTCTTGAGTTTGAGTCTTTGAGATGGTAACACGCACCGTAACGAGAAGAAATGGGGATAGGGTGAGAAGTAGGGGTGCATTCGGTCCGGATACGGCTCGGATATGATGCCTACCATATCCATATCCGCTTACTCATCTCGGATACGGTTACGGATACAGATATACCTTGGTAAGGAAAGTTTATATCCATATCCACTACAATCGGATATGGTTACTGATATACATGCGGATATATAAGCGGATATGTATGCAGATACAAAATGGATATGAGAAAGCTAGATAGTATTGAGAAAAACATAGTTCATGTGATACAAAAGAGTTTGTTTATATGTTCATTATATCTGAAAAGTTAAGATTAGACATATTGATCATCAAAATTAACCCCAAATCCATAATCTAAGAATCGAAACTATCGTAAGAGTATGACTAATATGTATTCGGATATTTCGGATACGGATACGGATATTTCACTATAAAACCATATCCGTAACCATATCCTATCGGTTATAGATTTGAGTAACCATATCCGTATCCTAACGGATACGGTTACAGATATTTCCTCGGATACGAATACAGTTTAGCACCCCTAGTGAGAAGTCTAAAAATTTCTCCAACTTTTAGCATTTGTGTTATACAGTGTAGCATAAAGCTTTTTTTTGGAGAATATTCCGTGAACCGCTTCTTCCTTAGGCTTAACTTTGCTCTTTTAGTTCACCTGTTTTTGTCGTATTAGTCCCCCAAATCTTCGCTACATCTATATCGGACTCATTCATCTTAACTAGACACCCCTCCCCCTCGCCCCCCACCCAAAAAAAAAAGAATAAAATAAAATCTTCATGTTTTCTTGAAATGGGGGACAGGAGGTATTTAGAACAGCTTAGTATACCGGTTTTTTTTTTTTTGGGGGGTGGGGGGGGGGGGGGTGGGGG